ATATTTTTCGTATTATTATATAAAAATACTAGTTGCTTTTATATTTTTATGTATTATTTTATACCTGATTAAATTAGGGATTAAGGATATTTATACTCAATTAGTAACCAGTAACTCATCTATATACTGGAAACTATATATGTAAAGCAATAAATAGAAAATACAGTTTGACATGCCTCTAATTGAAGCATTGAATATAAGAAAAATTCATGAATGTCATAAAATGAAATCAAATTAACCCAAATAGGCACGGATTATCAGATAAGATTTTAAAAGTAGTTTAAACTTGTACATATACCCATCAATTATTTACTTTTGAAATGTTATACTTTTGTGCAAATTCAAAATTAATTTATGAATAATATGAAGTTAAGTAGATTAATGTAAACTTATTTTAATTAATAAATTCAAAATATTGATTACATATATATTTTGTTTAAAATATATAAAAAATAGGCAATTGTATTTCAGATTAAAACCGTTGAACTAGCAAAAACATATTCACGCTTCAAAGTATTCTTATCGTAGAATTATATTGTATGTATTTTTAGGAGTAGATAGATATATATATATATATTATATTATATTTATATATATATATATATATTATTAATTGTTTTACAGGTGAAATCGAAGCGAGTAAGCGCCGCTTAAAATATCCAATACAGTATGGTCACAAACGCAACACAACGGTGTTGCAAAACTAATTGCTGGCAATTGACTACTAATGTTCAACATTTAGCAGAATATTCAACAAAGAAATCTATCTGTATAGTTAGGAATAGTTATTAAAAAAAACGAAGGAAGAAACTTTGACTCTATAAGAACAATGCGTATAGTAGCAATACTGGGTGCAGCTTACAAAATCTCTTTCTTCTTTTTAGTTGGCTTTATTAATTGCACATATTTTTAACTTCCCGTAGGGCAAGTTATAGTAATCGCAAAAAAATCGAAAATGAAAATTTTTATATATCTTTACGTTTCAAAGTTTTCCGAACATTTTGGCATACCTTAGAGAAAATGGATGTATGTGTGTGTGTGTGTGTGTGTATGTGTGTGTATGTATGTACGTGTGTGTATGTATGTGCGGAAACAAATTTTCGTCGACGATTTCGGGAACACGGATCAACCCATTTGAATAATTCAAAAAACATTCGATTCATATTGATAAGGAGACGTGCTGATTAGTTTTTGGCGAGGCAGGTCTAGCCGTTTCCGAAGATACGGGGCAAAAGTGCCGAAAACGGTAACTCAGTTTTTAAGAGAACGGAGCGTCCGATTTGAATAATTCACTTGTATTGACAAGATGAAAAATCGATAAAATTTTCATGAAGATAGGTCTAGCGGTTTCGGAGATAATGGAGGAAAAAGTAAAAAATGAGCCATTTGGCGGTCAAAAATGATCATTAGACATATGCACATCAAATTATCAGATATTTTATAGAAATTTTAACAATAAGTATACATTTTGTTAACATTCCTATGGGTTCCGTACCAATGCTTATGCGTTAGACAGCGACGCGGCGCTTTATATTTTGTCCCTATGCAGTTAAAGCAGTACGATTGCTTTGAAAAAAAGTTCAGATCTTCCACAATATGTCAAAATAAAGAAAAAAATTTTTTTCAAAAAAAAAAAAAATTTAAAAAAAAATTATTTTTTTTCAAATTTTTTTTTTCAAAAAAAAGTAATTTTTTGTCCAATTTATAGTTTCTCAAAAATCTTATTTTTTCAAAGTAATTTTTTTTTCAAAAATGTTAATCGTTTTTAAAAAAAATATAATTTTTGGTACGGGAAGTTCCAGCAATTTGCCTTAAGGCACGATGCCTTAATTGCCTTAAGACAGAATTCCACTTACATCTAGTATTTTAAGTGTTTCCAGCCTTATCAACTGTTAATAGAAGTTGCTGCGACTACTGTGGTTGTAACATGTACCAGGAAAATAGAGTTCGATGCACGCGCATCACCAACTCCCTGCACAGTTACATAATTGTAATGAGTACACTTTAAATCCTTTACCGAGATTCTATTAGGCGGCCCGTGTGGTGCCAGCAGCCGCGCTCATTCCAGCTCCAATGGCGTTGCAAAAGTTGTTGCGGTTAAAAAGCTCGTAGTTGTGCATGCGTCCCATACTTTTAGCTCACCGCTCGCGGTGTTCAACTGGCATGTCTGGGAAGCTATGCCAGCTAGCATTCTGCCGAAGTTCCTTCGATGACTCGGTGGGCAGCTTCCGGGATACCAAAGTTTCCGAGTTCCAAGATTTCCAAGGAAAGTATGGTTGCAAAGCTGAAACTTGAAAGAATTGTTGGAAGGGCTTTACAAGGAGTAGACTCTGCGGGTTAATTTAAATCAATGCGAAAACCTCACCAGGTCGGGATACCCAAATAATTGACAGATTGAGAACACTTTTCTTGATTCGGTGAGTGATGGTGTATGGTCATTCTTAGTTGGCAAAATGATTTGTCTGGTTATTTCTGATAACAAACAAGTCTGCTGATAATAATGTACTTTCCGGTATCGCAAAGGCCGTCCGGGAAATATTTGTTTAATGGGATAATGGGAGGGGCAAATAATCTTGATAAAAATATTGTCTCATTCAGTTCAGAATGGCTTAAAACATCGAGAAAACATGAAATTAGCGAATCGGATTTTACTATGAAAACATAAACTTCTCCTTCGGGCAGTTAATAAAATTACTACTATACTTCAAAACTAACATACTATAATTCAAAAATACGTCTAACGTTTCATTCGTTTAACGTTTATGCTTATTTATCTATGGTTTCATTTAGTGATGTGCCGACTCGGAAAATTCCCGATTCGAATGATTCGAATCAGAAAAAAACCTGATTCAAATCAAGTATATATATGGACAAAAAAAATCATGGATGTATTTATTTAGTAAAAGGGATTCAAATTTATAATCAAAATTGTTAGTTTAACCAATATAACAGATAAAGTAGAAATTGTAAACATAAATTGCAATCAAAAAGTATATTTTGAAAATTGTTAAACATGATTTAATTTTAAAGGCGGTTGATACATATCTACAAGTTGATTTACAATAATAGATTACCAAACAATTGTGCATCACTAAAGCATATAAAATATTATAAGAAATCATGGGTCAATTGTTTATTTTACTATGTAATCAGTAAAGGATCGCGTCTAAACTGAGGGCTGAAAGTTAATTTCATTAATGTGAATTTGCCATTATTCACATAATCAGAAGTTGAATATAATTTACTGGCTTTCTGTTGTTTAGTAATTGTTTCAAAAGAGTATTATATTGAATGATTCTCGAAACTTGTTTCATAATTTTGAATGGATTATTCTGATAACATCTAAAATCTAAAACACTTAATTATTATCAAAATTGGGTATTGATACTTCACGAACAAAATCGCTCTCAACGCTCTGTAAAATAAATAAACACGCTAGAACGACGACGCATTGTATCTGTTTCGAACTCATATCGTTCGAATATGAAGTCGATTGAAGTCTTATCGCTCAAAGTCGGAATGATTCGGTTTGAGTCATATGAAGTCGATTGAAGTCTTATCGCTCGAAGTCGGAATGATTCGGTTTGAGTCATATGAAGTCGATTGAAGTCTTATCGCTCGAAGTCGGAATGATTTGGTTTGAGTCATATGAAGTCGTTTGAAGTCTTATCGCTCGAAGTCGGAATGATTTGGTTTGAGTCATATGAAGTCGTTTGAAGTCTTATCGCTCGAAGTCGGAATGATTCGGTTTGAGTCATATGAAGTCGATTGAAGTCTTATTGCTCGAAGTCGGAATGATTCGGTTTGAGTCATATGAAATTGAATGAAGTCTTATTGCTTGAAGTCGGAATGATTCGGTTTGAGCCGTATAAAGTCGGATGATATAGTAAGTCGATGAATGCGGTTAAAGTCGATTGGAGTCGGTTGATACATTTAAGCGTCGGTTGGCTCGCATGATTTAATTCATGATTATTTTTTATATTTATGTCATTTATGTTATTTATTATTTTTTTTATATCATTATAATATTGAATTAAATTAAAACATTTTTTTTACATTTATGAAAAAATTGTGTTCATGCATATTTTATCACAGTAAATATTTTGCGGCTTGATTCGAATCAAGTAAAATCTGATTCGAATCAAGTCGTTAAAGGCTTTATTTGAATGATTCGAATCACTTGATTCGACTTGGCACATCACTAGTTTCATTCATGTTTAATTACTGCTAACCATGACTAAAAGAACATGTTGCATGAATTGTATTATATTGGCATCACTGACTGTCAAGAAACGTCAAAGTAATTTATCAGTCACAATAAGTAAATGTATATATTGATTGTGTTGATGTGATTGTAAGATGTGTATAGGCAATTCGAACTGTTGAATAAATGTTTACAATCATATGTGGTTCAATATTTTTTCTTTTGAGGCTCTTAACACGCACAAACTCGTTGGAAAACAGTTTTATTTTCAGAAATGTCTCAGGTAATGTCAACATACAATTAATTTTATTATTTTTTTTTTTTTGCTAATATTCTTCTTCTACAGGAATCAGAGTGCGAAGATGATATCGAGCCAAAACTTAAATATGTAAGAATTAGCAACGATTTGCGTAAAATTTTGAGTAGTGATGCCGCTAGTTGTGTTGCTGTACATCCAAAGGTTTTTTTTATTTGTTTTAAATATCGTTTTCAATATTTAATAACTTTTTTTTATCTATTTGCAGTTTTTATGTTTAGGTACTCATTTTGGAAAAATATACTTGTTCGATCATCAAGGAAATATAGTAACATTAAATTCTAATTCTAAAGATTTACCTATTATGCCATTGCCCATCAATCAAATAAATATTGATGAAAAAGGAGAATTTATAGCTGCTTGCTCAGGAGAACATGTTTGTACACATATTTTCAGCTATTTCAATTTGCAATATGAGTTGGTAAATATAAATGTATTTTCAATTGTAGGTTATTGTCATTGGTTTATACTCTTCAGACGTCAATGTCAATTTGCGTTTAAGTACTTGCATTCTCTGTGTTTCTTTAGATCCAATTTATCATAAACCTAATGCGGGCCACAGATTTATTACAGGTAACTGATATAAAAATAAGTTTATTAAGTCATTTAATTTTTAATAATTGCGTTTATTATAATATTCACAACATACTTGCAAGATAATATATACAGATGAAAATACATTGAGCAAATATTTCAACTATATGGCTTCACTTTTCAGTTATTGTGGGAAATATCATTTTATATTATTGAGTATCTAATTTAATTCTGTCTCAATAATTAAATATTATGTGCGTTTAAAGTAGATAATTGATTTAAGAAAAGAAAATCTCAGTATATTTTTTGTTTGAAAATTATTAAACAATTTTGTTTATAGCTGTGTATTAATAATAATTCTCTGAATGTAGTCAACGTCTTGAAAATATTTAGGTTGTACAAATGTTTAAATGGCATTTTATCTCAATACAAAATGCATGAAATTTTATATATATTGAAAATAGTTTTAAATCCTGATGGTTTTATTATGAAAAAAGTAAAATTATCACAATTTATTTTTCTCGCATTCGGTTAAAATGTTTCTTTCTCTCACAGCTTGTGGAATTAACAAACATTTGAACTGATTGTAAGTAAAATGCACTAGCAAATTTTTTAATTTTTTTACTAGATTTTTTTATTATGAAACTATCAAGTGTTTTCTCATTTTGCAATCCTGGTTAAATGCAGCAACTTTTGATGAAACTTGATAAGACACTTTTCTCAATTTTTTCTTAATGTAGGGTTTGACCAAGAATACCCATTTTGAAAATTCTAAATTCAAAGTTTAGTAAAAAGTCTGATGACTATGCTATTAGTTACGGATCGGAAGTAAACTCACTATAGAACACATTTATATCGAGTATTGGGTTTCAAAGTTGTCGGAGTCATGGAGTAGTTAGGCGGATATACACCTCTCTGAAGCAGAGTCCAATCCCAACCGATGCGATTTTGGATATTATAAGCTCAACTCAAATATATATATATATATATATATATATATATATATATATATATATATATGTACATACTCAACTCAAATTATATATATATATATATATATATATATATATATGTACATACTCAACTCAAATTATATATATATATATATATATATATATATATATATGTACATATACATATATATACAGTGATACCCCGCATAACAAAGGGCTCGCACAATAGACCACACAACATACTAAATCGTTGTCATTTGTAGTCAAAAAAAATATGTTGCTCAAATTAATTCAAAGAGTCGGCTTTTGAAATTTTTGTTCCCCTGTGAAAATATTCTTGTCGGAAAAAAACACTATTATTTCATCTCATTCATCTTGTAAAAATTTTGAATGTGGATTAAACCTAGAAAAGACAGACAGAAACCAGTCAGCAGATTTTTAGTGCATTAAGTCCATAAAGAACTATATTCATATATATACGAGTATATATATATATATATATATATATATATATAAATATTTATGCCATAGTTCAATACATTGTTATTTTAATTGACAGGAGGTAAAAATCTAGCATTGCATGAAAAAACATTCTTGGGTAGAACACGAACAACAATTTTATGCGAATCAAGTAGTTTGGTACTATCAGCAGTTTGGAATAATCAATTTATAGCATGGTCTTCTGAAGAAGGAGTACGAGTTTATGACATAAATGAACGCTGTTCTTTAGGATTAATTAATTGGGAATCTCGAAGGTAAACCTTTAAGTTAATTACATGTAAGCACATAAGTGAAGGCTGATTGTACATTTTTTCTTGATTGAAAAAAATGTTTCAAAGTGTATTGACACATTTATACATGATTATAAAATATTTGATTAATTAATAATAAAAAGAATGAACCTAAAAATAAATAGTTTGTGCATTTTGTAGAGGAGGGTTTTTCAAAATTGACCAGTTTTTAAAACTTTCTTAATTCTAGAAAACTTAATGCAATTGTGTGATTATTTTTGACTATGATTCTAGAAATGTTATTTACAGTTACGGATCGAAAGTTTAATCTTTAACACGTTCAGCCTGGCAGCTAATTTTGATATCATGATTCCGATGGGGCAATTTGATGTATATTCATATTGTTCTACACGATACATGTGTCAAGTTAGCAACCAGGAGACAGTTGTTAGCCTATACATATATCTAATTAATAACTAGTGGTATATGGCATCATGCCTTAAAACTAATTAAGATTAACTAATTTTTCCACTGAATGAAGACTAGGATTACAGCCGAAACATATGGATTTAAAATAAAGTTTTGAAAGAAATTCATGTTTTTTTTATGTTATGCCCGATTACTAGACTTTGTTAATACATATGTCAACATCAAATTCAGAATCATACATATATATATATATATATATATATATATATATTTATTTATTTATTTATTTATATTTATATTTATATAACTTTTTTCAAATTCTAGTGATGATATACAGAAGTACCGTTGCAACCTAAAGTGGTCAGATTCAAAGACACTTCTGATTGGCTGGGTTGACACAGTTCGGGTATGTGTCATTCGAAAAAGACACACAATAGAAATATCCAATGGAAATATGCCAGAGTATATTGTAGATGCAGGTAAAAACACACACACGTGTATATATATATATATATATATATATATAAATATATATATCTATAAATATATATATTAATATATTTATATATATATATATATATATATATATATACATATATGTTTAATCTGAGTTAAAAAGTCGAGTGTTACATCAATAAAAATAGTATGAGGGTTTTTTAAAAGTTTATTTATTTAAAATCCATACGTTTCGGCTAGCATCTTAGTCTTTATTCAGTGGTAATCAAATTAACTATAAAAATTAAAACTAAATAAATAATATGTAAGAAATTTCATATAAAAACAATAATAATAATGATAAAACACTTACAATTTTGTATCCTAATATAACATATGAAACCATTATTAATCCATGGTATGAGTATGTGCACATTGATAAAATATATATTTTTTAGCATCACAGATGGTAATGCACACTAATAAACATGTTAACTTAACAGGTTGTCGAAACTATGTATTTACTGTTCGGAGTTTGAGATAGAAATGTCATAGTTTTTCTTTTAAAGCAGTTTTTAGCATGTGCTCAAATTTTACGCGAAATTTAAAAAGCGATGGGTAAGAAATTTTGACTCGCTATTAAGGAACCATGTGTTAGTGTTGTTCAGGGCCGTATTGTCAAAACGTTTGTTTATAACTTTGTCGTTATGTAATTGTAAAAACAACCCCTCAGCGAATCTTTTTTTAATCACGTTTCCTTCAAAATGTAAACTTTTAGGGTTGAAAAAATCTATCGTTTTATATTGTTTAGGATTTTTTGAGTTATTTCTATGTTGATGAAGGCGTTTACTCAGGTTTTGGATAGTTTCTCCGATATAAAAAAGTTCGCAATTAGAGCAATTAATCTGATAAACCAAGTTCCTGAGGCGGTCAGAATTAAACTTAGATTTAATTTGTGTAAAAATTGAACTAAGGGTTGTATCGCAATTACATACCAACAAAATGCCACATTTTTGAAACAGTTCTCCATGAAAAATATAAATCTTTTACGTACGATAGGCAAATGAACCAGTATATGACTCCTAGTCTAAACGGTTTTTATGGTCGGTGAGGTCGTTTTGTTTGTTGAAAATGAACTTAATTATGGTATATGTAGTTAATTATGTTTGTAGGGTAAGATTTATTTATTAGTGTGCTTATTACCAGGTCAATGTTGGTGCCCCAGAAATTTTTATCAGATAGTAGTATGGGTGGTCTGTTAGATTTATGATTTTTGCTTTTTTCATTTTAAGAGGGTTCTATGAGTGGTAATTTATGTATCGTCCGGAGCTAGTTCTGGTACCAGTTAGTAATTAGTCGGTGGTCATTTGTATATATTAGTCTGATGTCTAGAAAGCTGATCGAATTCATTGTCTCTAATTCCACAGTAAACTGTAGTTTTTTTATTGAAATTGTTAAAATTATCAGTAAAGATGATAATGTCTTCTTCTGAAATGCAAGTAATAATATCGTCTACATAGCAGAAATAAAAGATTTTGTTAAAAAGAAAGTTTGTTTTAATTTTTAAATATTTTGTTTTCTATTAGTTGCAAGGAAATTTCTACTAATGAGGGAGATGCGGGCGATCCCATTGGGGTGCCAAAAATTTAGTAATAAATGGATCCGTTAAATTCAAAATAGGTGTTAGAGACAATGAATTTGATGACTTCTCTATATCAATGTAGGGATATTATGGTGTGAAGGCTGATTTCACTCCATCTGATAGTGATGGCATCTAGTATTAAGTCTAGTGGAACATTTGTAAATAAGGATATAACGTCTAGGCTAATTAGTTTATAATTATTGAGAATAGAAATGTTATTGAGATGTTTGACAAGCTCAAACGAATTTTTTATGTGATATGGACAAATGTTCGCGGGATCGCGAGTCATATTAGAAGCATTTCTTAACTTTATATCTGCGATTTCATATCTTTGCGAAAAACTCCCAAAATGTAAAATACTACTGCTAGGAGATTTTAATTTACCAAGTAGTATTAAACAAACCGAGTGTTACAGACTGATTTACGATGAATTTGCTGCTCTAAACTGCCAACAAGTAATCATATTCCAAACTGTAATGATAAGTTTCTAGATCTCTGTTTTAGTAACATGAATGCTTCAATAAATAGAGCAATAGCAATAATAGAAGAGGACAAATACCACCCAGCATTAACCGTTATCATAAATAACCAAACTGCTATTACTCAAAGCCCATTTATCTATTCAACAAAGCAGACTACCTTGGATTAAACATTTATTTCTACAGAATAAACTGGATAGAGATATTGAAACTAAGAAATGATATAATTCAAAGTGGTCTTAATTCAAACTGTTTGTTCCAGCAATCACTCCAAAACAGAATAAATACCCCAAATGGTTTACAAAAGATTTGACTAAGAAGATTAAGCTTAAAAAAGTAGCGCACTCTAAATACAAAAAATATAGCTCAGACAAGATTTATACTGAATTTAGCATACTACGATCCGAATGTAAAAAACTAAGCAAAATATGTTACACTGACTATATAAGAAAAGTGGAAAATGCTGATAGTTAACACCAATGACTTCTGGAACTGTGTGAAAACAAAAAAACGTAACGATTGCAGTATTCCTATGTCATTCCTATGTCATGGAATGAAACCACCTCCCACAACGGAGACAGCATCAGTTACCTATTTGGATCATTTTTCAAGAATATATATGCTTTGAAAACGGACAGCAGAATAGTACACAAAGATGTAAACACATGTCACAGAACACTCGATGCCAATCTATCTTATCTTAACGTGAACTATGATGAACTAGTGCAGATTATGCTTAAACTGAATATCAAAAAGGGTGCTGGACCTGATGGCTTGCATAATATGTTTCTCAAAAATTGTTCAGCTAGTCTTTGTGAACGAATCACGCATATATTTCAGGAATCATTAAAAACAGGAATCTTTCCAACTGCTTGGAAAATGGCTTTTATTACCCCTATACACAAGTCCGGTTCTAAATCAATAGTCGACAATTACAGACCAATTTGCATTCAATCTTCAATTTCAAAACTATTCGAAAAATCTGTACTTATAAAATTGACTTTTGAAAATATAATCTCTACCAGACAGCATGGTTTCGTAGGCGGGCGATCAACAGCGACAAATTTGGTTCTGTACATAGAATATATCATTAATGCTTTTAACTCCGGATTGGATGTACACGCAATTTACACCGATTTCAGTAAGGCCTTTTGTTTGTAATTTTTATCAATGACATCGGAATAGACCTCAAGTTCGAATTTCTGCTTTACACGGATTATCTAAAAATTTATAAAAAGATATTAAGTGAGAGCGACGTTACAATACTACAACAAGATATCGCGAGACTGAATACATGGTGTCAAATTAACAAATTAAATTTAAACTTCAAGAAATGTGCCGTAATGACCTTCTCTAGATCCCACAATTATTGTCCTCACACCTACTTTCTGGGTAATCAGAAAATTAATGAAGTAATGACAATAAAAGATCCAGGAGTCATTATGGATAACAAACTCTGCTTTACTGAACACATAGACAAACTCATTCTAAAAGCCTTTCGTACACTCAGCTTCATAACAAGATGCTGCAATGACTTCCATAAACTGGAAACACTTTACTGTCTATATTCTTCCCTAATTAGACCTATTCTGGACTCTGGACTACTGTTCAATCGTCTGGTCTACGAACACTGAACAATTGATTAATAGACTGAATAAGGTGCAGTATAAGTTTGAGAAATATGTATCGAACTTTGCCTACTATAAAATGCAGGGAAATGCAATGCTGATGACATCATAAAGAAAAGCAGAAATAACACCTTTACCGCGCGTAGAAAAATCACGGACTTGCTTTTCTTTTACAAGATAGTAAACGGCTTTATTGAATCACCAGAATTCTTAGAAATACGCCGATTGGCGTATAAATAAATAAATAAATGAATATTAATAACTGCAAGTACTAATAATTGCAAGTGCTAACCTAATATGAAACTGATTATATTTTTTTACAGAGCGTTTGCATTAATTGCATTTGCATTCATTTACTATTAAATTACTAATAAGCAAAATCCAATATTTTTAAATTATACTATTATCTGGCATGCACACAGAATAGACTGAGATTGAATAAAATATTAGAGAATGGAAAATGTTTCAGCTCTGATATAGATTTATATGGTACTAGCTCCCCAATGCTCCCCATTATAAAAAAATAAAAACAATAGAACTCTGACCAAAAATTACAAAAAAAATAAAGGTGAACAACCCTTATCACTTTTAGGAGTATGGAAAATAGATAATTACCAATCCTCAGACCTACTGAATACGAATATAAAATTTGGTAAAAATCGGTAAAGCCATTTCGGAGGAGTATGGGAACAAACTTTGTTACGAGCAAATTTTATATACACTAGAAACTCGATTAACTGGACTAATTGTTGTCGATAGGCATTCGTATAATCGAATGTATGAAGAATTATGTTGTGCATTTATTAATAATAACAAATGCATACAAATATATCAACGAAAATCAATGTTTATTAAGAAATTAACACTTCCGTATGTATGTACATATAAATTTTCTTACGGAATTTTATGATTTTTTTTAAAGTGCCATAACATTTTAGTATGATCTATAAGACTGTGGTGTCTAACGTCAAAAAAAAATCATAAAAATCGTCGAAAAAATCTTTTTTATCACTTTATTACAAGATAACGTTTCGGCCGATCTTTACCAAAAAACTAATCAGCACGATTCCCAACCAATATCTTTCGAACAGTTTTTGAATTTTCAAAATCGATTCAGAATTGCGGGCTAAAACGTGGACGAAATTTTTTTGAAACGGCTTGGGTGATAACCGCCAGTCCTCATCGAGATACATCGAATGGCTTTTAAATTTTTGAAATCGATCTAGCCGTTTTCGAGAAAACGTCGATTTACGTCAAAAAATCTGTTCACATACACACACACCCACATACTTTTTCCAAATTAGGTCTCGTTGTCATTAGGGAACCGGATTTTTTTATGAAAACATAAACTTCTCCTTCGGGAAGTTAAAAACCAAAATTTAAATACATATTATTACCACGTTTTTTATTAATTTAGAAAATTAAACAACCCTTAATAATAAATTATATTTTAAAGTAAGCTTCAAACTTTTTCTTCCAGCTCATGAATCTGAACTAAAATTATGTCAAAAATATTCAATGACCGAACGCGAGATAAAAATTGATTCAATTAATAAAATGGCAATAAAAAGTAGAAGTTGCTGATAAAAAAGAAAAAAAATAGTGCGCGTTAGATTCACGCGCGATTGAAGTAAAACTGTTTTGCTATTGTGCGAGATAGCATTTATGTTAAAAATAAATACATCAAAAAACTATTTTTATTTATATTGTTTATTAGTAATATTGTAACACTCGTGATGCACACATTTATTAGTGTTGACTATTATACACATTTATATAATGATAAATTATAAATTATATATTAATGATAGCATTAAAAATATGTATAATATTTGAAAACAATAATGTAATCATAGTCATGCTTATTTTAAATATGACATGATTGGTTTGTCATTGTAATTAGCATTTACGACTTGAACATTCATTAGAGAAATGAAGTAATTGCTGATTAATAAATTCTATAATATTCGTTTACACAGTAGATTATGTTAAACAACGCCTAAACAAATATTGTTTACACAATTTCACTCATCATGTAATTGTGTTTGAAGAACTTCATGTAATAAAATTAACATACATTCATTGACTGCTTGTTTTTTTTTTACTTTTCTGCTGACGTTACAATCTCATAAAAATATTTTCCATTTCAATAACTTCAAAGATTTATAGAAACTACGAATAATATAGAAATTATTTCAATAAACTTATATTTCGTACACGGCACAAATGTTTCATTTATTTTATTATTTTCATTATAATTATTCACGGGGCACAGTGTAAAATATTTTTCAGATTCAGGCGTTTTTTTTTATTAAATCAAGATTTGTACTACGATGTAACATCAAAACTAATAATGCCATTCCAATTTCTTTCTTGTATCCTTACGCATACAACGGCAGATCTCTATTCACGCGACACGGCGACTAATCACAATCGACGCGTATACAAATGATTTCATCGAGAACGAATGACAAACTGTCCGGGCGTAACGCTATTTCCTTAGCATTTGTACAGCTTTACTCCCTAGTCGCGCCTAAAGAAGTTATACTTCAAAATTTAGGGTCGTATGCATTTTTCATTGCCATATTATAAAAAAATAAAAGCCCAAAGATTTCGTTCCAGAATTAAAAAAAAAGAAAATACTCCTTCGGGAAGGGTGGCTAAACCTATCACTTAGGGGTATGAGAAATAGAAACCACTGAAATACTCACTGAAATGAATATAAATATAAATTCTTAAGAAATATTTATGAAATGATTATTTTTCGTAAAGTAATTTTTATTTAGTATTTTATAGAATATTACAATAACTTTAATTTTTGTTTTAGTATCTACATTCCAGATGGACTTTTTTATCTCCGGTCTCGGTCCCTTAGAATTGCCAGACCAGCTGGTAGTTTTAGGATATCCAAAAGAAAAAGATCCCAGCACAGGGAAAGCACTGCGTCCTGTTTTATCTGTTTTACATTATAAAGATTCGGATTACGTAGAAGTATGTACAGATACTCTGACGCTACGTGGGTAATTTTTTGCCTTTTATAACATTATTCAATTTTGAATCTTTATCAGTAGTGTTGTATTAATGCTATAAAAATATTGTACAGCTATCAAGAGTATACTTGCAATGATTACCATCTTGATTGTTTAATTGAAGAAAATCAATTGTTTATTATGTCCCCAAAAGATGTTATAATTGCGAGCCTATATGACCAGGATGACAAATTGCAATGGCTAATAGATCACAAGTAAGATCTTCATTTTATCTTGTACCTATACTCATATCCTCTCCAAGAACGTTTTTGTGCATTTCTTTCCGTTTTTCACACAAAAATTAGCTTAAATGCTTATGAAAAGTATAATTAAAATACTTCTTTGAGAAATGGTTCGAAAATAAAATCAGTAGTGAGAACAGAATGTTTTTACAAAGAACCCATTTCAAATTGACCTAAAGAAAATCTGCAAAATATTATAGTCAAAACTGAGTATTTAAAATATTTACAATAAATTATTAGATTGTTTTGTAATATATTATATTGTGTTATTATATAAATTACTTTACTCATAGCAAATATGACCAAGCGATGGCAGTTTTGGTAAAAAATAATTGTACTTCAAGTCGCTGGAATGATATACAAATTGGTCGAAAATATATTGACTTTTTAATATCAGAAAATAACTATGACAAAGCAGCAAAACTTTGTTTCACTGTTTTCACTAACGATAAAACACTATGGGAAGAACAGTCCTACAAATTTGCAGTATCACATAATTTAAGGTACTGACTATTTCTAATTTATATTAAAATACCTTTTGATTTTTTTTTATTTATTTCTGTATAACTACTTTGTATATTTATATATTGAAGTATAATTTTAGTATTACATATCATAATGAAATATGTTACTTTCAGATCCATTAGTCCCTATCTACCAAGAACATTAGAAACAAAACTAGATCCTCAAATTTATGAAATGGTATTATATGAATATCTGAAATATGACCCGCAGGTAAATAAGTTTATTTAGCAATTATCACACCATCTAATTCAAAAATAAAACTTGTTTAATTTTCGACCTTTTGGGGATATGGATCAATATCCACCTCTTCAGAAAATGTTAAACTATTTTTTTATAGTTCCACTACTCTTTTTTCTAGTTTTCTATTTTTTTACAATTATTTTAAATATTAAAATATTAAAATACTTTTACTTTTGATTAAACTAATACTTAAATAATTAACTTCCCGTGGGGTAAGTTATTGTAATGGGCCGAAAATCGAAATAGAAAATTTTTACATTTCTCAATGTTTTGAAGGTTTCTGAACATTCTGGCATAACTGAGAAAAAATGGATGTGTGTGCGTTTTTTTTTGTATAGCGAAGGAAATGCCTTTATGCATCCCAGACTGGTGTTTTTTCTGGGTATGTCGGACTCAATACCGCCCTGGTATAATACCGACTAAAACCTTCTCTTTGCCCTTGCCTCTGGTCCCCACGGAAACCGCCGTTAGCCAATTCGTGGGGGGAGGATCTAAAATGTTATAATTCTTAACTTGATTTTATACTTTTGGATGTATATGTGGGTATGTATGTATGGATACAATTTTACGGTCACGTTTTCGGGCGCACGGATCAACCGATTTTTAAATGGCTCAAAAAACTTTCGATTCCTATTGATAGGGAGATGTGCTGATTTGGCAAAGGCAGGTCCAGCAGTTACGGAGATAAGGAGCAAAGAGTGCAGAAAATAGAAATCGAGTTTTTGAGAGAACGGAGCATCCGATTTGAATGATCTAAAATACATTCAAGTAGTAATGATTGGGAGAAGTGTTTATTAGTTTTTGGCAAAGGCAGGCTCAGCCATTTTGAAGATACGGAGCTAAATGTGCAAAAAATGGCAGTTTTTGAGAGAACTAAGCGTCCGATTTAAATAATTCAAAGAACTTGCTTGTCTTAGCAAAATAATTGATTTTGGAAAAAAACTTTTCAACTTTTTTTTCAATTTTTTTTTCAAAAAAAATTTTTTTTTGTATATCGAAAATAATTCAGATTTTATTTTTGATTCTGACTATAGTTCTCATATACTTTAAACAACTTTGCAATTCAGTTTATTTAATTTTTATAAATATTAGACAATGTTACAATATTTATAATAATCTATTTGAAAACATTCAGTATTTCTCGAACATTTCGTTACGGTACGGGAAGTTCCAGCAATTTGCCTTAAGACACGATGCCATACACCCCACTAGTTTAATTTTTATTTGAACAATAAATATTACTAACAAATTATGGGTATAAAGTTTTGTAAAATTTAGAATCAAATATATAAAGCCACCATCTTTTTAAATTTATTTTTATGAAAGCTCAGTACTAAATGATTGATATTTTTATTTTAAATTTCAACAGTTATAATAAAAATATTATTTTTTTATTATAGAAAAAAAGTAAATGCAACTAAACATTTTCTTGGCTCAACTCTATATTTAAATTAAAATAAATAAAAATATAATTGAAAATAAGAAAAATCAATGTATTTAGTTTCTATACCAATGCACCACAATGACCTAAAATTAAAACTATATTGAATTTAACTGAACCAATCAATCATAATTTTTTATACTACTGGAATTGCCTTCCCTAAAAACTAATCATTTCTTCATACCGTCAACACAAGTTTTTAATTTCCCATATGGTAAGTTATAGTAATCGCAAAAAAATCGATTTTTTTTATCTCTTTTTCAATAGCAATCAGAATACATGGCAATTCTATGGGCTATTTGGCTTATGTCATTCACTCGCACACATACAAACACATATAAATTAATCTACTAAATATTACATTGTTAGAGAATACTTCAATGAGTAATTCTACTATTCTGTGCACATAAAGTTAGAATAGCGCTAAGGATCCTCCATATTATCTTTGGGCAGTTTTTTCTTCAGTCTTCTTGAAGTTGGTGTCTCAAAAAGCTGAGTGACTATATAATTTGTATGACGTTCTAGTTTATGAATATTTTGGTCTTTACACTTTACCTTTAAAAAAATGGATTTATTTGTGTATGTGTGTGTAAATTTTCGTCGTCGATTTCGGGAACACGGATCAACCGATTTGAATAATTTAAAAAAAACATTCGATTCGTATTGATAAGGAGACGTGCTGATTAGCTTTGGCGGAAGCAGGTCTAGCCGATCCGAAGATACGGGGCAAAAGTGCCGAAAACGGTAACTCAGTTTTAAAGTGAACGGAGCGTCCGATTTTAATAATTCAAAAAACATTTTACTTCTATTGACAAGCTGAAGAACTGATTACATTTTTGGGAAAGCAGGTCCAGCGGTAATAAACTCTCAATGAATTTTTTTTTTTTTTTTTAATTTCAATAATGATTAACACTGCTAATTTATTAACATCAAGTAATATGATAAAAATAATATAAATTTAAAAATGAAATAAGTTTAAAAAAATGTCATTTGGCGGTCAAAAATGTTATTGGACTTATGCACATCAAATTATCAGATATTTTATAGAGATTTTCATAATGTATGCACATTTTGTGTACTTTTTTTGGATTTTTTGTACCAAGATTTTTAACTACGGTGCGGGAAGTCCAGCAGCATTTGCTTGAGGCACGATGCCATGCACTCACTAGTTTCTTTTTAATTTCAATAATTTCTGAACATTTTAGCATACCTTAGAAAATATGGATGTATGTGTGTGTGTGTTTGTGTTCCGATACAGTTTTTTTGTCAAAAATTTCGGGAACAAGGATCAATCAAAAAACCTTCAATTCCTATTGATAAGGAGACTGCACCTTTGTGAAAAACTAATCAGCAAGATTAGCTTTTAACAAAGGTGCAGCCATTTTAGAGATACAGGGCCAAAAGCGCGAAAGATGGTAATTCAGTTTCTGTAAGAACGGAGCGACCAATTTCAATAATTTAGAAATCATTTTACTTGTATGACAAAATAAAGAGGTGATTAAATTTTTAGGAAGGCCCGTCTAGCGGTTACGAAGATCCAATGAAATAAGTAAAAAAGAGCTACTTGGCATATGCACAT